TACCTGCAGACATCTATGAGTCCTCCCTATATATATATATATATATGTATATATATATGTTCACAAGTACATTCAAACTGGTAAATACAGTGAGATATGACATCATTTTTCTCATGTTCTAAGGGCTTCGATGTATGCATAGGCTTCCTATTCTCAATTATTCTGATCTTAGCTGTATAAGAAGTCTTGTTAACCTCAGCGTTCAATCTTTGTTGAGTAAGCAAGCTGCTGTGGTCATCCATGTAGGATAGCTAGCTTAATATGTATCCGTCTTTCTTAGTGATGAGTTGCAGAGTAGGTCTTGGTGTTCTGGCCACTTTCTATCTCCTTATGAACAGTACAGAGAACAGAGTGAAATAGCAGTGGTCTGTTAAAGCCCCTACATTTCCACTGGGAACTTACGGGAATAGTCATAAAATCATAATACTAAGTATTAAATTAATTTTTATTATTTATATATATTATTGTCATTGTTATTAACAATATTCGAAATTTCTATTATCATCATCATTAGTATAAATAAATCTTTAAAAAATTGTGAAAAAAATATATATTTACATACATATATTATATGGTGAGTACAAACATGGTAAAGGACTTTGGTTGTCATTGGCAACCAACCAACCAACAACAACAAAAATATTGAATATTGAACTATTCAAATAAACAAAAATTTGTTTTAAAAAAGCAATGATAATGGTTATAATAATAATAATAATAATGATAAATAGTTTAGGATGAAATGAAAAAAAATATTTAGAGGAATAGAAAAATACAGATTGAGAGAGAGAGCGAGAGATAGAATAGGAGATAGGAGGAGTGGAAGAAAGTCCCTTCTACTCCTCTTCGATATGCGCCCAACTTAGCAACCATCTAACGAACGAACGAACGAACGAATAAACCAGACATAGATGGACTAATAAATGAGTTGTTGTATACTAAAATAGGTTAGTAAGTAAGGAAGGAAAGAAGTAATTATAAGGAAAAAGATACTTTTTTCTCACTATCTGACAAGCAAATTAACTAAACTGAGGACCGATTATGAAACAATAAATATAGGAAAAGAGAGATAAAAATCAAGTCCCACCCATATGCATATAGGCACACAAATATATATATGTATACTGGACAATAGGATAGTTAGCAAAAGTAGATTTTGTAATAACAACGTCATCAATCGTTATTTTTTTTTGCTGTTCACTGTGAAATTAATAACGATAATGAGGATGATAATAATAATAGTAGTAGTAGGGATTATTTTTTCATTTTATTCTATATTTCAATAGTTTTTGCACTCAATGATTTGTTTACACACAGAGAGCAATTCAAGTTAGGGGAAAGAAATTGCTTTCATTATACCTCGTCTAGAATAAGGTGTTCCCAATTGTAAATGTAACCTAAATAATGATTACAATAGTAATAATAATAATAGTAATACCTTAATATGTCAACACTTCTGTCTATACAAGGAAGGCATCACCATAAAAATTGTGGCTTAATTAAACAACTTGCACTCACACACACACAGTGAGTGAAGATACTGTTCATCTTTGTAGTTAAATTAGAGACTGAATAGTTAGAAATAATCTCCATATAGACGTCTGTATGCATAAAAATGGTTTTAGTTATGAACGGATATGAGTAAGATAAGATGGTTCGTAAACTTGGCAGTTATTTTGTCTTATTTGATGGGAATTCACCGACCACATGCGTGTTCTGTACATCTGTTCACTTTGTTCTTCTTTCGAGATTGTGCAAAAGGGGTATGAGAGGTGGAAAACATGATGATGAGCTTGAAATAATAGAGAAGATTTGTAGCTCAGGTGGATGATTTGCAATTAAAAGTGTTCTCTGAGCTGGTTGGTTCAGTTGAGAAGCTTTCGTCGTCCTTCTGGACAACATCTCCTTCAGCGCAATATTTAGCACAAAGTGAAATGATTTAAATTTCTTCATGAGTGATAGAATTGCGTCTCCTGGTAACCATCTTTACATATGTATTGACCATTCTCTATTGACTTGGATTTTAAACTTTCTGGTCACCTGATTTACCTTTTATTAGTTGGTATATTTCGTCTATATTAACGTGCTTGTTAATTGCATTTTCGTTTGAGTACCAGGCTTCTAGGAATTCACTGACTGCACATTTTGTGTTTCCTCTGTCTAAGATTTTGACATTATCCCAATCAAATTGATGACCATAATTGTCTGTATGCAATGATACTAAGGAATACATATCATGTCTTTTCACGGTTGATTTATGTTCTTGGATTCTGATTCGACATATTGAAGACATCAAATTCACAAGAGAAGAAGAATTAGATAACAAAATCCCATTTTTAGATGTCCTAATCAGGAGAACCAACACAGGAAATTTAAAAACACAAGTATATAGAAAATCAACACACCCACAGATAAAATACTCAACTATGCTAGAAATAATCCAGTTACTCACAAACGAAACTGTGTGCAGACATTGTTTAAAAGAGTTCAGACACATTGTAGCACTCCAGAGTTGAAAAGAATGGATGAAAAATACCGACAAACGGTCTTCAAAAAGAATGGTTATCCACAAAATTTCATTAAAAGGTGTTTAAAGTCGAATCAAAACACCAACAAGAAACCATCATCAAACACTACAAGAAAATTCATTCTACCATACATGAGAAATATCTCTGAAATAACAGCTAGAATACTGAAACCGTTTGATATACATATAGCACACAAGCCAGCCAAATTGCCTTATTCGATATTATGCAGACCAAAAGATCCAACAGAAAAAGGGGATAAAATGAATACCATTCACAAAATAAATTGTATGAACTACGACAAGCATAACATCGGCCAAAGTGGGCGTCCCCTTCGAATTAGAATCCAAGAACATAAATCAGCCGTGAAAAGACACGATATGTATTCTTTAGTATCAATGCATATAGACAATTATGGTCATCAATTTGATTGAGATCATGTCAAAATCTTAGACAGAGGAAACACGAAAAGTGCAGTCAGGGAATTCCTAGAAGCCTGCTACTCGAACGAATATGCAATTAACAAACACGTTAATATAGATGAAATATACCAACTAATAAAAGGTAAATCAGGTGACCAGAAAGTTTAAAATCCAAGTCAATAAAAAATGACCAGTACATAAGTAAAGATGGTTACCAGGAGACGCAATTCTATCACTCATGAAGAAATTTAAATCATTTCACTTGATGCTAAATATTGCGCTGAAGATGTTGTCCAGAAGGACAACGAAAGCTTCGCAACTAAACCAACCAGCTCAGAGAACACTATTAATTGCAGATGATGAGCTTAGTTGTCTTTCGCTGGAGGTGTCTGAGTCCTATCTATCTCCTGTGTTAAATGTTACACTTTGGTGTGTAACATTGAGAAGTTATGTCGATTGAGATGGCTAAGCCGTCACCTATCTTGTTTAGTAATGTTGGCTAAGATAGGAATCAGCTGAAAAGAATTTACAGGGCGGTCATAACAAGACCTGGCATCAATCCGTCAATTCTATGACTACATTCATATGAACTGTGATCAAGATTTGACCGAATAGTTCCAAAATAATTGGGCGCCGAGTGAGAAGTAGACATTTGTAAAAAATTATATATTTGTAAAATCTCAGCGAAATTGAAATGATTAATTCCAACGTTTCGTTCGGCAATCTGGTCCAATTTCTGCTGATTCGCGATACTTAGCGCAACTGTCAGCCAATGTCAGAGGCCAGCAACTGTTCTTTTGTTTGTTTGACTTGGTCGACAATCCTGGTTATGACTTCTCACCAGAACTCCAGGTGACTTCCTATATGTAGCCAGTGGCTAGTGAGCATCAAATTTATGCTCAAGTAGCCGTAGACACAGGTCTTAGAATTCTTGGCACTCGTTAGTAACGCATAGTTGTAACCCAGAAGGAAGTGATGTTGCCTTTCGGGAGTCAAACTGTCGTCAACCAGTTTTATAGTCTGAGGTGCTACCATTGAGCTATTAGGATTCAAACACTAATTCTTCTTAGAGGCAGTCCTAAGGATTAACAACTCGATGTGAGAATGAGTAATGCACAGAGATATAGTTGCTTAAGGGCTTTTGTTATCTCCTTCTATTTCATATGTGGGATTTTCCAACCTGGTAGAATATAGCAGAATTATTCATCACCTTTTACTATTTGAATAAATTAACATATCATTTAGTCATCTAACACCCAAGTCATCTAAAATTTTTATTGAGAGTTAATAACGGGAGTGAATACATTTATTTCTAGCTGATATTTCATTGCTACTATTAGCCATTCCTTGAGTTCCGACGTGAATACTGAATCTCAACAGCCCATATCCGTTACACTGACTTCTGTTTCGTGACTTTTAACTGGTTTTACGACGGCTCACAAGAATGTATTACCCCTTCTTCATACCACTGTAGTCTCCACGCTTGGATTATAGCTATTCTCTCAGGTTCCATTTTACCGCCTGCCTCTCGTGTGATGTCACTTTAATGTCATCTCAGCATATGTACAACCCTCCCCCATTTCTTTCTGTGTGTTTATGGAACAGTAAGTTCTTGGTTTTTTCACTGCCAAAGTTCCATGTTGCTGATTCTTTCCAACCGGCAAACTAATCTTCAATATCAAGTCAGCTATTGACGAAAGTCTACAACAGACTGTTGGAAATGCTTCTGGTGACTCATGAGCGCCAAGTCTTTGAACTACATGGAGGAACCACGCATGGCTGCATCTGCACGATTGACCTTCCTATTTTTCCCGACTTAATTCCAGCTAATAATCTAAGCGAGGTTCTAACTGACACTGTTCCGACTGTCCGTTAGAGGATCATTTTAGGTGGAATGATTAACTTTAGAAAAAAAAAACATGATTTCCATCACTGGTTATTGATGATATCGTTTTTTTATTTGTTTGTTAACTAATTTGTGTTTTATTCAAAGCACTGAATAAAAATTGATTACTGTCTTTCTTTAAAAAAAATAATATGTTACATATTCTAGTTGAATCTGATCGTCTTAACGATTTGGAACGAGTTAGAAAAGAACTGCAAGAATTGAGAAATCTGTTTTATGAAAGAAAATCAACTTTTTCAGGCAGTAGGTAAGTACACTGAATGAAGAAGGTTCAAAGGAATCGATATATTTTATTATTCCTTTACGTTCTCAGTGGAACATAGGACTTCAACCCTACAGACTTGAAGTTTCGGTAGCAGTGGTATTTAGTGGTATTTTCAGAGTCGGTGTGCTAGCCGCATGCCTAACCTTCCCTCTTTACCAGTCTTATTACTGGCTTAGCAACGTGAAGGAGTGCGTTCATGGCTGGGGATCAAACCCCGGACCACATGCGTGGTCGGCGAGCATTCTACCGCTGTCACCGACAAGCAGGCTAACACCTCAACATACGTACATGTATTATCACCCACTGTAAGCATATTCGATTATGATAAAAGTTTATTCGTCAGGTAAATAGTTCTGTAGCTTAAAAATCCCCATTGTGTCATATGAAAAAGAGAAGACGTTCAGCGAAGAGATTCTTTTCGCCGGCGAATTCATTCACATAGCTGTACAATCGCATTTATGCATAATTATTTGTGTGTGTGTGTACATGAGGTTTGTCAAGTTTAGATAATTAATCAGGTAATACAAGAATGATCTAATATAGAAACAAGGTTAATTAGACAGCAACTAAAGTAAGATTGAGTTAGTAAGTTAGATGACGTAATATGATTGACTAATATGTTTCAACTTAGATCAGGGTAGCAACAAAGGTAATTAGAGGTAGAGACTAAGTAGAGGTGGGGTAGAGAATAATGCCATTTAAATTAGAACTGAAATTGAGCAAATAAGTTGGATGACGTAACATAAATGAGTAGAAATTGAGCGTTGGTCAAGTCAGTAACAGTGGTAATGAAGTGTAAAAATTAAATCGGGTGGGGATAGAGAACAGGAAAGTTGAAAATGTAAAATATTACAATTGTAAAGACAAAATAATACTAATGAAAAGACAGAAGAGAAAAGGATTAGGTAGAATTTACTTGTCGGCTAATAAGATAGATTACGTCCATTGCAAGTGTAGTGATTGAACGAACTTCTTTTGTATGCAGAGTTCAGGACTTAGCAAGTGAATCGCCATTGCTTCTGCAGTTTGAAGAAGTCTGATTCGAATAATAGAGAAGATTTGTAGCTCAGGTGGATGATTCTCTGAGCTCAGAGAACACTATTAATTGGAAGTCTGATTCGTACACCTTTAGGAAGACTACTTCTTACTCTGTAGACGACTTTGAAGTTTGTTTGCGGTGTAGCTTGGTGTCCGGAATCTATCAGATGTTCTAAGATAGAGCTGTGGGGGCATCGATTTTTTCCTTTGAAAAACCATGTTGGTAAGTGTTCTGTGATACGTTTGGAAAGCGAACGCTGATGCGGCCGACATGAAGTCTCTGAATTCGACAATGAAACTTGAACTTATCCTCAAATCTGAAGTTATCTCAACATCTGTTTCATGAACCCAGCTAAGAGCTATACTTATCTTCAGTATGTGAGAGTCAATGATTCCACCCACTTGCTCAGGCTAAATTAGGTGAAGCCACATGAACAAAAGGTTAACTTTCATGTCAAGGAAACAGTCAATGCCATTACAAGTAGATTTAAGGGTGAGAAAAAAACACAACAAACCAACCAATCATTATCAAGGTTACTAGGAGAGATGATTACTAAGATCGTGCAGAATTTTAAAAGCTTACTTCAGATTGAAGTGGGCGCTGAGGATGTTATCTAGTAAGACAGCGAAAGCTTCGTAAATAAAGCATCCAGCTCAAAGAAAACTACTACACCGAAATCATCCCCTTGAACTACAAATCTCCTTCATTATATTTCACCTCATCAAATAGTATTAAAGAATTAATAAAATGTGAATATTCGGAGAATTAGAATTAATTTATTTTAGTTCAGGGACAATGGCTACTCTTAGTAATCTGTCAGTGTATCCACTACAATTTTACAGGATGTCAAGATGTAAGCCCAAAAAACTTATTGGTGATATCTTTGACTGCAACACTGGGTGATGTGGTTTTCAATCCTAGAAGGGATATTTGTCCCTCCAGGATTTCATATACGCCTTGCTGACTGATGAGTGCGAATAAGTACTAAACGGACTACCTCCAATCATCTTACATCAGTAGATACTATATTTTAGTTCCAGGTCTATAATACTCATCTCAATCTTGTATAAAGCAGAAAGCTTCTAACTCATGAACTGCACGGTAAAACTCAATGGGTTTTTAGGGACAGACGATTTTCGAAATAAGTTTCACTTTTAATATTACTTTGCCACTGAAATCACATTCACCACAAACAGAATTTCTACAGTTGATCAGTGAAAATAATTAACATTCTAAGAACTTATACAGTTTAAGTTTTATTTAAAAAAACAACTTTCATTTAGATAAGATATTAGTGTGGGCAAATTTTGTTTACGGAGAATTATGATGAACTTATCTAGGAAGCACGGTTTCAACCACAGGCGACAGCACGGATGAAGTTATCAAAGACAGAATCGGAAAGGCAAGATACGCACGCCTTCATCAACCTGAAACCAGTTTGGAAATCTTCTGCACTCACTCAGCCAGCACAAAGAACAAGATTCGGATTTTTAGCACAAATGTGAATTTATTCAGTTCTTCTGAACGGGTCAGAAACTTGGCTAGTGTATCACGAAAAGCACTGCCAACAAGCTGCTACTGCAGATTTCGCTGGCTCTATACTGAGGATGAAGTGGTCGGCCGGCTGGTCAGAAAGAATTAGCAACAAGAAACTCTGCGGTGGGACAAACTAACCAATTGCCGATTGCTGAACAAATATGTAGAAGAAAATGGAGGTGGATCGGTCATACGTTGAGGAGGCCGTCGAATGACATTGTGGTCAGTGCACGCCGTATCTTGAGTTAAATCTCAATGGGAAGCGATGAGTAGGTTGTTGATGCGAGTGTGACATAGAGGAGATCTTGCGACGAGGAGATGAGAGATAATGGTTAATCTTGGGCCCAGCTTAAGAGGATTGCAGAAAATAGAAGAAAGTGAAGATATGTTGTTGCAGACCTATGTTCCACTCGGAACGCAAGGGAATGATAGTAATATAATGATAATAATAATAACGATGAACTCAGATATATGTGTTTTAACAGCATAATGAACTTACATAATAATATAGGTGTTTTTGAACCGAGCAAGTTAACCTATGAAAGTCTGCTGAATGTTTATTATCTACGAATAATAATTGCCTTTAGAGTAATGTGAGGTAGGCTTTAAGCCTATATTAATCTCCTTGATTTCCAGTACAGTGGAGGTCTAGTCCTTTTTTGCCCCTTACGTTACAGGTGGAATATGGGACTTCAGGCTTGAGCTTCGAAGTTTCAGTAGCGATGGTGCTATTTCTACAGGGTAGGGTTGCTAGCTTCAAGTTCAGTCTTCCCTCTTTGCTGGGCTTACCACTGGATAAGCGAGGTTTATGAATGCATCGGCTTGGAACGGAGTGGAGTCCCGTACCATGTGGGTGGGCAGAGAGTGTTCTATCTGTGAAGCGTTGACACAGGAGGTCTAATCTTACTTCGAATGAATTAAAAAATACCTTGTTGATTCACAATTGACAGTGGTTTTTGAGGTGATGTCATCGAGAGTCATCAGTTCAAGAGGCACTAGAAGTAAACAGCATAACTAAACATCTGAATCTTTAAGTAAAATACGGAGTGGTAAAATGAGATCACTTCTCAACCACCGGTATGAAAGTGGAAATAAATCTGGTCGATACTATTCAACTCTTTATATGACAGGTTTGAAAATCCCTTAGTTAATTTATTTGCTTCTCTTCGAGCCCTTTCTAATGCGTCCTCTTCAATATGCGAAACATGAATTAGCTGCCTGGGTCTTGTATTTTGAATGGGTTCTCATATAAGTCAGATATAATATACGAAATTAATCAGCGTCAAAGTTTACAAAAGCCTCATGGAAAACTGAGAGAAGAATGGTTTCCTAATAGATGGAATATTTGGTTGAAGTAACTCAACAAAGTCCCAGCCTTTGTGAAGTTATTACAGGAAACGTTTCGGGCCTTAATCAGCTGAAAGTGTGAGGATGGCGTTATTCTTCCTAGTTCTTCCCTCCCTAAACAAGCAAAAAGCCTTTGGGGGCAACTTTATGGACTGCTAACGAGCTGTAATTCTTAAGTCTTTCCAGACTGATAAATCAAGGCCTTACACTGATTTCTAGTTTCACAGTATTTTAGCGGGGAATTAGTTCAACCAAGAAGGAATGAAAGCGTTCCATAGTCTTTTTCTCCACTGGAGAACTTTAATAACTTATTTATTTGTCGCTGATTGACCATTTGTTGCTTAATGAAGAACCCTATTGGGTATAGATTCAGACGTGAACATTTCAGGTTTATTTTTGAATTTATTCCATGTATCATTGATGCAGTGCAACACATATTTTTTTTACTTGTATTATATACGTTTTATAATTTAGCGCTGAACGTGCTTATCCAGGAAATCTTCGAATGAGCAGTAATGGTATCAAAATTGTAGAAATGCAAAATTTGCCAGTTTTTGAAAAGGTTAGTTAATCAGTTTAACGATGGTTTTTCTTATTCCTTTGCAATATGAGTGGGACACGGGGCTTCAAACTTGAGTTTTGAAGCCTCAGAAGCAGTGGTGTTGATTATTTAAAAACAATGTGAATTCGCTAGCCTAACGCTCCACCTTCCCTATTTTACTTGGCTTACTACTGATTAAATGAGGTTCGAAAGTGCGTTGGCAGGAAATCGAACCCCGGACCACATGGGGCGTGGTTAGTGAGTATTGTAACGATGAACCACAGACGCGTTGTTTCTTGATAGTATTATAACATATTTTTGATATTATTTATAATACTAATATTCTGGACCATGCTCTCCATTGGACCAGGATAGAAAGCGACGAAATGAACACGAGGAAGTTCACATAAGGAGGCTATGAAAGCTAGTAGATAGTTATGTCTGTGTTTTCGACATAGAACTTTGCACTGATGTGCGTCAGTTCAAGTCACCACACTTCCTCCTTGTAGCACACAAAGCAAGAGAAGAAAGTAGGAGAAATGCATATTAGAGACAGTAAACAGAGGTGTGAGACAAAGGAATAGTAATAACGAAGAACAAAACAGTTTAATTGGAAATTATAAGTCACAAGGCGTGGATGCATCTGCACCAGCCATTCAGAACGAGGATTTTGAGCCATATCACCAATTGTTTCCAACCATTGGTTTTTACCGTCCCGAGGACCCCAACCAGTCAGGAAGTCTACACCTTCCTACGTGGCTTAGACTAACTGTTGTAGATTTCATTGACTGGTGCCATGTTTTCGATTGACCGCCGCTAGCTCTTTTCCAGCCTGAACCTATATCAGCTAACATTGCCCATTGTCGAGGAAGACGATGACTAGGCATAAGTAACACATGTCCTAACCATCTCAGTCGATGTAATTTCATAGCCTCGTCGACTGATTTCCCCTTCTTACCTAGCACTCGACGCCTAACCTCAATATTGCTCATCTTATTAAACCACTTCACACGGGAGATAGAATGCAGACACCTATGATCAGAGACAGCTAACTAGACATTTCATGTTTTCCACTCTCAATGGTTATGTCTCACAGCCATAAAGGAGGACGGAGCGGACTGTTGAGCAGTACACACGCCCTTTGGTTGATAGTCGGATATCCCGTCTACGCCAGAGATGGCGTAAACTGGCATATGCGAAACTAGCCCTCTGTATTCGTGCTGAGATTTCGTCGGTGATCAAACCGTTGAGGCTGATGGTACTTCCCAAGTAAGTGAAGCGGTCAACGTGCTCTGCCACTTCACTTCCTATTTCTAATCTAGGGGTCGGTGTAGTCCAATCCTGCAGCATCATCTTATATTTTACAGGGGCGAATCGCATGCCAAACATACGAAGACTGTTGCTCAAGGTGTTCAGTAGACTCTGCATTTTGTCAGCCTCCTCGCCTAGAAGGACTATATCGTCTGCATATTCTAAGTCAACGAGATTATTCCTTGGTATCAAGTCAATCCCTGAGTCGCTTAAATCACTTAGGGTTAAGTCCATTAGTACATCTACGATGAAGTTGAATAGAAATGGGGATAATGGGCATCCTTGACGGACGCCACTAGTCGTCACCACTTCAGATGACAACTTGCCATAAGCCCTCACCTGGCTGCATGAGTACGAGTAGAGTGCCTTAATCAGTGCAATGTATTTTCTCGGCATTCCCTTTACAGCCAAGCATCGCCAGAGAACCTCTCGGTTGACACAATCGAATGTCGCCTCTAGGTCAAGAAATATAATGATTGTTGGACGCCGAGACAGTTATAGAGCCAGTTGAAAGCGATGGCAGAGAGCCAAGTGCAATGGATACGTGTCTTTAAAGCCCTGTGTTCCACTACGAACTTGTGGAATAAATAACAATAATGATATTCAGGACTGACACTTCACGGAAGGTTACTTAAATATTTCAAATGTTGATACTATCATTGTAGAATAAGAATGTTAGGCTGTGTTCTTTAAGTCCACTTTGAAGAAGTATGGACTTCGACAATAGACGATGTAAAACAATTCAATGCATCTTCACTCGATTACCAGATTTCATATAAACTTCTGAAATAGTTCTGCTTGCAGTTATTCAAAGGAGGTTAAAAATGAAGGCATTACAAAATAAAAATTTAGTCTTCTCAATGTGTGACATGAGTAGGACAAAGCTGTTTACTATCAGTGATGATATTTCTGACTGATGCGAACTGGATTAGGCAGCAGAATGTGTGGACCTCAGAAGGGACATGAGTTCCTTCAACGATCACGAGTACTCCTTGCTCACAGGTGAGTGCAAACAAGTGCAAAACCTAGTTCAGACAAGGCTTCCAACGGCTGACTGCCTTCAACCATCTAACAGGGATTCAGAGTGTATTGTGATGCAGAGCCACCTGACAGAATACAGTCTGCGCAAGACGAACGACTAGACTGCTGACACTATTTACTTACTACCTAATGTTTAACCAAAAGTAATCTGGGTGTACTGTGCAGCTGTTTCGTCCTAGTATGGGACACCTCATCAGTAAGAACCCATTGGGGTTCAAACTCAAGACGCTCCGGTTAGAAGGCAAGCTAGTAGACCATTCAGTCACTGGGACCGAATTCAGTGGCTTATAAATTCCTACTTCTGCCAGCTCGTGATATATATAATTCAACCACTAGCAACCCCAGCAGGTGCGTACTCCTGAAGAGTGCCAGACTAAGACGAAACAGCCACCCAGTACTCCCAGGTTTACAGTGGCCCTGTAACTGATTTCAGCTATTGACTAAACCTGTAACCAATCAAATCCCTGCAAACCAATACTTGACAAAGGTAATCTGTTAATTTTTTAACGTTTTTCTTAAATTTATATTTTAAAGGAATCTTAGTTTTTAAAGTTTTGTTGACGTAATCTCACCTTGATTTGTTTTTTCACTGTTTATCAATAGTATACACTCACCCAATCAACTATTGACTTTTTAAAGAAGCCAACCTTTGATATTTGGCACTGGGAACCAAATGAGGTAAGAATCTGCAAAACCTCAATCTTTATTGTTGCATAAATATTATAAATTGCAGGAGATTAGAAAATAGTTATTAATAGAAATAACTGAAATTATCTCAGTGTTTCGGTCACCGCCAACGGGGTTCGCCAGGTTAGGTGTCGAGACAAATACCTGTCCGATGCGACCGGTTGGCTGCCGCGCTAGGTATGGCAAATTATTGGTAGTCAGAACTGATAGGTAATTGGATCCCGTCTCCTATTAGCTGAATAGTTGATGGGCTCACCTCAAAAAATTGAGGTTCTGGGTTCGACCCCTTTTGGTATCAAGGGAGGATACTGTTGAAGTATCCCAGACGAGGATGAGGTAGCTGTCCAGTACTCAGTGGTTTTTCAATGATTAACTGTAATTGAAATCAATTCGTAATCAATTTCAAAATCGGTGTTTTTTCAGCACCAAATGAAATTTTATCTTACGAAAAAAATAATAAGTTGTTTGGCAGTTGAATAATTGTTTTTCACAGTTAATTTAACGGCAAAGATTTCACATCTGTTAAGTGCAAGCCACTAGAATCTTCATTTATTCAAATACTCACCTCTGATTGAGTGAAGATAGATATACTTAAGTTCATAGGCACCCATGTTATTCGTTTGTAAGCTTTGCTGATTTGTTACAAGTGTGATCACAAGCTGACGTCAGTTAGAGAATCGCTGGAACACCAAGGGGTACTGGAGAGCTTTTTCATACTCGTTTAGGACTCTTCAACAGCACTCATCCACCGGAGTTTGATTTTTATTTAGTTTTTAATTTTTATTTATTTTGATTACAGCTTGGTTCCACACCGTATTTTCAGTACAAGTATGGAATTTTTAGCATGGATATCGGTAGCCCAAATTTAGCAGGCCGACCATAGATATCGGGTGTGCATCGGCAGGGGATCGAACCCTGGACCATGTGCATGGTCGGCGAGAGTCCTAACCACTGTGCCACCGACGCACATATTTATAGCTTAGACGGATGTTTTTGATGCTAATGTGTTCTTCAAACTGAAGTTAGACCTGAAGATGTTAAACGATCAAGCTCACAGGAGCAATACTAGACACATTTTAACATTATGTGACCTTTGTAACTAAATGACCTTGTACAACAAATTTCTGAATAGTGTTTATCAATAGCTGAATACTTGTCTTTGTTAGTGTAAACAACTCAATCTTTACATAGTTTACAGTGATCCTACTGGCAGGGACTATTATTATAACTATTTTTCCCTTGGGTTCTGAGTGCAGCATAGGGCTTCAACAATGCATCTCCACTTCATTCTATTCTTTAGCTGGCCCCACTATTGCCTATAGGCCTTCATTACCTCCTCACAGGACCTCCTCCATGTTAGCATTGGATTTTTCACTGGTCTGTTCTCATTGGGGTTCCCCTCGAGATCCTGTTGTTACATGATATCACCTGACGGTCTCCTCAGAGTGTGTCCAGTCCACCTCCATTCATCTCGGCTTATTTCTTGAGCAATCGTTTCTTGGTTGGTCCATTCCCAGGGTTTCTTGTTGCTGATTCTTTCTGGCCATCTGATCTTCAGCATGGAGCCAGAGAAGACAGACCTTCAACTGGTTAGAAATGCTTTTCGTGAGGCACACGTTAAGTTTGTGACCCATATAGAAGAATTGACGTAACATTGATGTTGAAAATCAGAATTTCGTTTGCTTATATTGAGTGCAGAAGATTTCCAAACTGATTTCAGAGTGATGAAGGTCTGTCTTGACTTTCCAACCCCATTTGGCTTTGACACCCTCATCCGTGCTGTTGCCTGTAGTTGATACGATGCTATCTAGATAAGTGAAGGAAGTGACTTCTTTTAAATTTCATGATGATTGGAGCTGGTTGTTACTGGTTGGTTATTTTCATTACCTCCTCCGTTTTTATGTTAGCTTAAAGTCTTGTCTCCACTGCCCGTCTATTTTCCCAACTTGTTAGTTTTCACCTGTAAGTCTTCGCGTTTTTGTGATATTAGACATGAATCATTCGGGAAATCCAGATCTTCTAGAGTCTTCTTATTTGTTTAACGTACCCTTGTATTCTCGTTCCCGACGCACAGCACAGCTCATAATCTAGTAAACCACCACATCGGTGATAGAAGTCAGCCTTGTCTTGCTCTTGTCTTCACTTCAATGTCATCCCTGAATTTTCCTCTGTGAATCACTTGATGTGTCGACTAAGGTTGATAAAGGTTTGTGGGACTCCGTAGTGTTGAAGTGAATTCTAAATCACTTCACTGTCAGAACTGTCGGAAGCCTTTTCAGAGTCGATGAAACTGAGATACAGGTTTGCCTATCATTCTATGCTTTGTTCGGTGATGTTGTGTAGAGTTGCAATTTGATCAGCACACGATTTGCCTTTCCTGAATCCAGCTTGTTCCGTCAGGCTGAGTTCTGCATCTAGTGCATACTTTATTTTCTCCATGATGACGTGACATAGTATTTTACGTGATGCGGACAAGAGCATTATTCCACGCCAGTCCTCGCAGGGGCGTAAGTCGTCCTTCTTTGGTAGCTTGACAAGGTAGCCTTTCTTCCAAAGCTTTTGTAATAATGGCTTTAGCGTATCCGCTGCAGTTTCTGCGTCATTTTTCAAAGCTTCAGGGAGAATTCCGTCTGGTCCTGCTGCCTTCTGGGATTTCATTAGCTTGACTGCATTCAAGACTTCTACTTTTGTTGGAAGGTAAGTGTTTACTGGCATTTCTATGCGTGTTGTTGGTGGTATTTTTGGACGAGTTGCAGGTCATGATCGATTCAAGAGTCCTTTGAAGTGACCAGCTCATTGTCTTTGTTTCTCGTCTGTGTTAATTAGGTCCCCTTCACTATTTTTCGCTGGTTTCATCTGTGTCGATCTCTTCCCCGAAAAAAATCTGCTTACCTAATACAGTGTTCTGAAATCTCTCTCGCCTGTCAGTGTGTCGTAGAATTGTCTTTTGTCTTTCCTAGCACTCTTCTTCACTTCTTTATTCAGTGCATTGTACTCTGTGGGCTCGTGGTTGTTGTCCGAGGGACTGGAGTAGACTACTGACTCAACCGTTGACAATTTCGGTGGTCCACATCCATTCCACCTGCTCTCACAGATCCCTGGCATTTCCATGCCGTATCTTCTCATTTCTTTGGCTGCCTGTGCAGCCTTCCCAGCCTTGTACAATGGACGAACATTCCACGTCCCCATCCTTATTTTTGACTTTATTGATAGAAGACACATTGGTTGACTGGCTTTCCGAAGGCTTTCACCAGCCTGTGTCATTTCATCTCTCCGATTCTGGTGAAGAATATTAGATATTTTTATATTTTTTTTTTATTGTGTCTTGAACTTTCTGTAGCGACTGGTTTGATTTTCCAGGTTAGAGTCGCTAGTTCCGCGGTCAATTTTTCCTCTATTCCCAGGCTTAGGATCGACTGGAAAACAAGCGAACTAGTAAAGTTGGCGGGGTTAACTGTGGAAATAGATAGACAGGATCAAACTGTCTTCATAATAAGTTACTGTCATCGGTAGACTGACACATTATGCTGGATGTGTTCAGAGGTACATTCCTTAGTAATTCACTGCTAGTAATTCAAACTTAATGGGCTAACGAATACTACTCTGATAGCCTTATCCCAGCGTCACTCATAACTGAAACGATTACACAGACACATGAAAACAAGGGGGAAGATAGAGCATTGGAAAAGCCAGTACTTCTTTACTACTCCCCCTTAAACTTTCCCGGGACACTTAAGAAAGACTTTGTTATAGTGCGTAGGGTGCTAAGAGGCCGTCAGTAGGGCGAGTGGGGTGTCGCTAAACCGACTCGTCAATACTACTGTAGAGAGACACTTGGATTCCCGCAAGAAATTAGCAAATATTGTCCTGTCAGTTGCTGAACATCCTCTCCATACACAACTCTCTCCTTACATCTCATTGGGTATAACTAGGAGAAACTAAAGAAGACTGTGTGCTGGGACAACTAAGTAAAAATACTCTACGATAATTCATTTAATACAATTTTTCTGTGATGAGAAAATTGTAAGACAGGAAATTACCAATTTACTGAGAAACTCTAAGTAAACGTTATTGTTTTTCTTTCTCTAGCTTGACTCCACACCGTATTTTTGTTACAAGTATAGAATTTTCAGCATGTGGTCTCGGCAGCCCAAATTTTGCAGGCCGACCATTAATATCAGGTGTGCGTCGACAGGAGGTCGGACCTTGGACCATGTGCATGGTCGGCGAGAGTCCTAACCGCTGTGCCACCGACGCACACATTGTCACTAATATTTTCATTTGATTTAATTTTATATTTACTTCTTATAGAACAATATTACTAATGTAAACTATTAATAATGTAAATTTAAAACAATTAGTTCCCTTTATGAATTTAGATAAAGCAATAAGAAGACGTAATTTGTCTGAATCGTGTAATGTATTTGCGCGTACAACACATTTCGAACAATCTGATCACAAACACACGGACTTGTCATAGGAATATATATGAAATTAATAAAGAGGTAAGAGGTGAGAAAATAAACTACTTGGGTCAAGTTAAAAGGGCATATACAAGGTCAATATAACAATGAAGACCACTAAACCAAATTGCAGAGGTAATAGTACACCTGCCTGGTATCAAAAAAAATTTACCAGGGAATGTTTAATGTGATGACGAATTGTTTTTGAACGCATAAAGGTGGCTTAAACTTTCTAATTACTAGGGCTTCCACAGATATTAGGATACACCCCAAACACGTTTTATAGATAGGTTTACAAGATCTGTTAACGTCAATTTTTAGAAGAGCTGGACACACATACATAGGGAGGACTCATCGATCTCTGCAAGTAAGGGCTTCAGAGCGGATTCCTAAATGGCTCCAGAAACAAATGGAATCTTCAGAACCTATTAACGGTGAGAACAGAAGACCCAGCTGTTCTATTGCGAAACATATTATACAGACAGGACATATAATTGACGTTAACAGATCTTTTGAACCTATCTATAAAACGTGTTTGGGGTGTATCCTAAAGTTTGTGGAAGCCCTAGCTGGCAATTAGGAAGTTTAAACCACCTTTATACGTTCAAAAACAATTCGTCATCACATTAAACCTTCTTTGGTAAATTTTGTTTTGATACCATAGCAGATGTATTATTACCTCTGTTATTTGGTTTAGTGGTTTTCATTGTTATCTTGACCTTCAATGTGTCCTTTTAACTTGATCTAAGTCTATTTTCTCACCTCTTACCTCTTTATTAATTTCAATTATATTCCTATGACAAGTCCGTGTGTGTGTAATCAGATTGTTCGAAATGTGTTGTACGCGCAAATACATTACACGATTCAGACAAATTACGCCTTCTTATTGCTTTATCTAAATAATGTAAATGCTCTATTTTAATTATTGCCACTATAATGAGAAAATTAAATGCAATATTGAATTACATGCTGAAAATTCCATATTTGTACCAAATGTACTGTTTGGAATCAAGCTATTATCGTGGTAATAATAACTGTGTTGAGTGAGTATTTGTCCATACATCTGACTTATTGAAACTCTATCGGGTCACCACTTTTTCATTAGAACTTCAGGACACTCAGGATATTTCTCTTGAAGGCAGTGACTAATGATGAACGGCAAAATTTATTTTTAGAAGTTGGGTTTACAATATCTAACTTTATTTTATTTTTTAAAATATTTTTAGATGCTGGCATTACTGGAGCACATGTATAGTGAGTTGGGATTGGTTGCAGAATTCAATATTAATCCGCTTACTTTGAAACGCTGGTTGGTAAGTGTTTTTTCATTAATTAGTATAAATATAAATTCAAGTGTTGGTTTGCAGGGATTTGATTGGTTTCAGGATTTCATCGTGAACTGATATCGGTTAGAAGTCGTGACCAGTGGGGTACAGCAGGTCGGGTGTGAGTGAGGACAAATATTCGCCGATTACGTTCGCTAGTGGTAGCGCCATATTGTGGATTGGTAGAAGTTGAAATTCATGGGCTGGCCATTGAATCGCGTCCCAGTGGCTTAATGGTCCACGAGATAGCTAACTAGAAGGTCCTGGGTTCTAACCCTGGCGGTGGGTGAGTACCGTTGAAGAGTCCCAAACTAGGCTGACGAAACAGATGTCTAGTACTGCCTGCAGGTTTTGCAATGGTCCTCTAACTGATGTCAGCTCATGATGAAATCCTAAAATATATAGAAACATGTTTTGAATGTAAATTACTATAAGCAGTTGTAGTAAACCCAATATAGTGTTAATTTATTCATCATGCATGCTTTGACGTTTAAGTCTACCTCAGATTATTCATACATAACAACATGAGAAAAGTTAGTAATTCTGCGTGAATGAATTAATAATAATAATAATTTACTTTATTCCAAAACAGTACTTGTGATACAGAATAGAATTCTCAGCATTTTTACTACAGTATGGCATCCAGTTAGTACATTATCAATAAATAGAATACTACATAGATTGAGGAAATCTCAGTTCATTATTACAACAACACATTGGCATGTCGGTAGCAAAGTCAAAGTTGAACAGTGTTTGAAGGTGTTAGAAAAGTAGTTGCTATCATATTTACTGGCGTAAGTGCGAGAAAGAAACAAAGCAGCACATAACGGAAAAGAGAGAGAGAGAGAAAAGGAAAAGAAAGAAAGAAAATGTTGTACCTATAAATGATTTGAGTTGGAAAGACGACATTCAGTTGTTCTACTGACTATTTAATGAATTATAGGTGTCACGCCTAATGCTTTCTTTATCGCACAGAGCACGACCTAAGTAGGGTATGATTGAGTTTTTGTACTTGCTGGTGCTAGCATATAGTTTTCTATATAGGCTTCTGGTTTCGCCTGATGAGATGGAAGGGGAGAGTTGTGAGTGAAGAGGGTGGTGTGAGTTAGATAAAATGGATTTGGCCCATTTTTCACATGAGTCCATGTGCCTGTCGACCAGAATATTAACAAGCTGGTTAAGTGGCACGTTGCCTACCCTGCTGACAACATTTAACATCCTGCCTAATATGTTATAGTCTTTCTTCAGTAGCCCGGGAAAAACTAAGGGGGAACAATAGAGAATAATAGGCAGAATGCGAGAGTTAACGAATTGTAGGATTCACTCACTAATGACATTTATCTAATCTTAAGTGCATTGATCGAAAATTAGTTACTCAGGCAGACAGTTTAGTCAGTGAACTCGTTGACACGATGATACTTTGCCCTGCAGTTCAATTTACCTCAGTATCTGGTGTTAGTTAACAGGTAATTGGTATAAAAACGTGTTTCATATCTCTTGACACTCATCACAAAAGGCATGTCCAGAAGCCCGACTGAACGCAATTTCTCAGTCGAACACAATCCTGAAACACAAGACACCAGTTCCCCTAAATACCAAGCCAGAATCCAGGTGGTTTGAAATGATTCGACTTTCTTTCTTAGTTGAGTCAGAACCGGTACGCTTCAGATAAGCGCATTCCCAAATGAATGACACACGGCCGTACTGTGTGCAGATCACTTCAATAATCTCGTTGTCTAGAGATACTGGTTGATGTCCAACTACTTATTTTTAATCAAACAGTAGTGTATAATTTTTTGCAATTATGCACTTTCTTGACAGTCATTTATGGAATCAAGCAGATCTCTTTTGATTGCACACTAGTCAGTAACTAGTGAAATGTGTCTAGTCCTATCTTCGGTGCAGACTGAATTCTATCAGTCATGTTTGCAATGTCACCACCATGCTAGGTGGCTCGCCATTACGGTGCACTGTGAATTGTTGGTATTAGATGGTTGGAGGCAATCGGCAGGAAGCCTTGGAATAGCTCAGTGGTAACGTCTCTGACTGCAGCACTGGGTGACGCGGGTTCGAATCTCAGAAGGGACATCAGTTCCTTCAAGGTTACAGATACGCCTTGCTGATGAGTGCCAACTAGCACGAAACCTAGGTCCAAGGCTTACTGCCGATTGCCTCCAACCATCTAATACCAACAATCAAGCAGATCGCATATTGTGATCTGAATAATTTCGGTTCTCAAGTGAAACCCTGTGGCAAAATCGCACCTCGCATTGATCTAAACATTGAAAACCTCATTAAACTATCTAAGCTTCCTGAATACAGGTGTAAAACAAAAATAATTTTTTTTCATGTCAAGCATTTATTCTTGTCGAGAAAATCAAATGCAGAAGTACATTCATGTGCAATGAAGTAAACGTTTTAAAAAAATGTTTTGCCGAAATGATTGATTTCTGTCGGCATTTCTTTCTCGTGTATTTGTACCACATTATTGTGTCAGGTTGAAGTAATAACTGATAATATATCTTCAACAATTAGTTTTGTAGAGGTTCTGTTTGTTCCACATTAGACCATGGATTGATATCAGTTATAGAACCATTAAGAACCAGGGAGTACTAGACAGTTGTTTCTTCTTCGTTTGCGAATCATCATCAGTATGTATCCCACAACAGGGGGTTCGGACTTAGGACCTTCCGTTGCAAGGTAAGCTAGTATACCATTCAGCCATTGGGACCGGATTCAATGGTCCATAAATTCTAATTTCCACCAGATGGTAAATTTAGTGCAACCACCAAACGATGTCATCGGCGGGGACTTTGTTCTCATTCCCGACTGGATGCAGTCCACTGTCCAGTTCTCCCTGGTCCTCAGTGCTTCTCTGGCTGATATCAATCTATGGTCCAACCTAATAATATATCTACAAAATAAACCTTGCTTTGTGTATTTTGATCGCGGAATGGAAGGTACATATCCCTTGTCTTCTAAATAGCAATGCAGTGAAACACAACATATTGCTGCCTTTCAGTCATGAAATACAGTGCATAGGAGAGAGGTGTTAAATAGTGCGGTATTCCATCGGTTGACTTGCTACCAGGGAATAATCTCGTCGACTTAGAATATGCGGACGACATAGTCCTTCTAGGCGAGGACGCTGACAAAATGCAGAGTCTACTGAACACCTTGAGCAACAATCTTCGTATGTTTGGCATGCGATTCGCCCCTGTAAAATGTAAGATGATGCTGCAGGATTGGACTTCACCGACCCCTAGATTACAAATAGGAAGTGAAGTGGTAGAGCACGTTGACCGCTTCACTTACTTGGGAAGTACCATCAGCCAGTGCCAACGGGTTGATCTCTGACGAAATCTCAGCTGAGTACGGATACAGAGGCCTAGTTTTGCATATGCCAGTTTACGCCGTCTCTGGCGTAGACGTGATATCCGACTATCGACCAAAGGGCGTGTGTACTACTCATCAGTCCGCTCCGTCCTCCTTTATGGCTGAGACACCTGGCCATTAAGAGTGGAAGACATGAAAAGATTAGCTGTCTTTGATCATAGGTGTCTGCATTCTATCTCCCGCGTGAAGTGGTATAATAAGGTGAGCAATATTGAGGTTAGGCGTCGAGTGCTAGGTAAGAAGGGGAAATCAGTCGACGATGCTGTGAAATTACATCGACTGAGATGGTTAGGACATGTGTTACGTATACCTAGTCATCGCCTTCCTCGACGGGTAATGTAAGCTGACATAGGGCCAGGCTGGAAAAGAGCTAGCGGCGGTCAAACGAAAACATGGCACCAGTTAATGAAATCCACAACAGTTAGCTTAAGCCATGTAGGAAGGTGTAGACTTCCTGACTGGTTGGGGTCCTCGGGACGGTAAAAACCAATGGCTGGAAACAATTGGTGACATGGCTCAAAATCGTTCTCAATGTCTGTCGCAGATGCATTCACTCCTTGTGACTTATGATTTCCAATGAAACTGTTTTGTTCTTCGTTATTACTATTCCTTTGTTTCACACCTCTGTTTACTGTCTCTATTATGCATTTCTCCTACTTTCTTCTCTTCTCTCTTCTTGCTTTGTGTGGTACATGGAGTGTGGCGACTTGAACTGCCACACATATGTGCAAAGTTCTATGCCGAAAGACGACCGATCGACCGATTCCATCGGTAAAGCCAACTTGATTAGTGATATTCTTCATTTCATCTCAAGTAATTCTCTTCGATTCCTTTCATTCCTTTGTGTCCCAAATGTAACTTAGGGATTCAGGCATTATGCTTTGAAATTTTAGCACTAGAGGCATTTATTTACAGGTTGAAGCTGCTAGCTTCACATCCTACCCTCCCTCTTTATGGGCCTTTCTACTGGTAAAGCGGGTTTTAATAATGCATCTGTCAGGAATTCAGCTTCGGACCAAATGTTTGGTCGGCCAGCATTCTGTCAGTGAACCAGTGGAGAATAGTTCTTTCTAAACATCGTCAAAACTCTTTAAAAAGTATAAGTCTTCAGTAATTCGAAGCGAACAGCAGGTTGATGAGTACTTCAGTAACTAACCGTCAGGTACGTAACCTGTAGTGAAGGTGAAGTACTTTGAAATTAACTTGAAGTCATTTGCGTCATCTATGATCTCAGCTGCATTTAACTACTGATGACGTCATTTGGTATTTCGATTGTTTTATTTCTTTGTATTCCGAGTGGAGCATACGACTTCAAGCTTGTGCTCTGAAGTTTCCATCTCATTGGCGTTTCCCTACAGAGTAGGGTTGCTGGCTTGAATCCTAACGTTCCCTCTCTGTCGGGCTTATATCCGGCTCGGAGAGGTAGAGATGTGCGCCGGCCGATATTCGAACTCCCAATCAAGTGCGTGTTTGGACAACATTCTACCGCTGAACCATAGATGCACGTCATTTGGTTTAGGTGAACGTATTTTAGTCAGTGCTAGAACTATGCTGATGGCGGAACTCTTGTGTAATTCTTTGAAAAAGTACTA